GAAAGCATGGATGGATGAGGAACGTGCTGCTGGGCTGTACCTCCCCTGCTTAGCCAATGCTGAGGGACGATGGGAGCTTCAGTCCTTCATGGGGGATGGGGGAGACGCCGCCGACACCACACCTTGGCTGTCTGGAGCAATGCTTCTCAGGTGTTCTCCCATGCCAGGAACTGTGGGCCTGGGATTTGGGGTTGTTGGTGACTGCCCTTGAGTTGATCTCGACCCACGGCGACCCTGTGGATGAGACATCTCCAAGGCTCCCTGGCCTCCTCTGCTCTGCTCTGCTCTGCTCTGCTCAGGTCCTGCAAAGTCATTCCTGTGACCTCCTTCATAGAGTCCATCCATCTGGCATGGGGCCTTCCTCTCTTTCTGCATCCCTCCGCCTTTCCTAGCCTTTCCTAGCCTCCTTGTCTTTTCGCGTGAGTCCTGCCTTCTCATGATATGACAAAACTATGATAGCCTCAATTTGACCATCTTTGCTTCCAATGAGATGTTCCAGGCCTTGATCTATTCCACGACCCGTTTGCCTTTTTGGCCATCCATGGGATCCTCCTCAGCACTCTTCTCCAGCCCCACATTATCTCAAATGCTGCATTGGTTTTCCTCCAATCTTCTTTCTTGACTGCCCAGCTCTCACATCCATCCATGGTGATGAAGAATACAATGGATCGGACCAAGTATTATTATTATATCTTTACACTTTAGAATCTTTTCTAGTTCTTTCATGGCTACCCTTCCCATTCCTAGCCTTCTACATGACTTGTATGATCCTAACTTTTGTGCCCAAGGGACCAACACCAAATTTGTGCCCGTTGGCTACAAGGGTTTCTTTCTTTCCTGGAAACTCACTGTGGACCAGTAGCTAATGGCTCAATGGCCAGCACTGGTCCAGAGGCCATCATTTTGAGTGGCCCTGGTGCCACAGAGACATGGACCTGTTCCTTGCTTGGGTTTTAACCAGAGTTGTGGGAACCCTCTTATAGCCCTTCCACTTTGGGCCCCTGGGCACACAGGGGTGGCAGGATGCTGGGAATTGGCAACTTATGTCAAGATGCACATGTATTCATATTCTAAGCCACATGTGTGTACTGAATGCTAAATAAAAAGCAAGACTGAGGCAGGACAGGTTCTGTGCTAGCATAAAACAAGCAGAATGGGATCGTTGTTTGAGTGCTGGACTAGGATTCCCAGAGGCCAGGGTTCGAATCCCTGCTCAGCCATGGAAACCCATTGGGTAACCTTGGGCAAGTCACTCAGCCCTATTAGAGGAAGGCAATGGCAAACCTCTTTGGAATAAATCTGGCCAAGAAAACCCTAGCAGAGGCTTCCCAGAAGTCTGACTCAACTCGGAAGCACAGAACAAGAAGGCCTTCTTTTAATATTTCTTAGTCAAATCACATTATGGTTATTTATGTCCCTATATCTTGAAGAAAGGAGGGAGACTCAATGTGCCTACCAACACATTTGGGCCAGTTTGAAGGCCAAGGCTTTTTATTACACCCCTTCCTTCTACAAAACCCTGCAATAGTTTCTCCTTTGGGTCACTTTGAGCTGGAAATGACTCCGCCACTTGCATGAATGATTTCATGGCATCAAAGAGCTCCCAAGTTCATCCTCCCAACCTGCTGTACTCCATCCCTGACAGACTGCAATGGACAAGAAAAGAAATAATTTTGACATCTGTGCAATGGTAGATGAGAGGACATCTTCTTTGTTGGATGTTGTTATGGTGGATGGCCACCACTGAGGCTGCACCACTAGCACTGGATTTCCTGCTCTGGGATATGAGGGTCAGACTAGATTGCTCAGCTCTATGGGATGCCCACCTACCTTCCACTTCAGTATTCCCAGCAGAGGACAGCCCTCCACTTCCTGAGGCAGTCTGCACCCTCCATTCCAAGAATCCTTGCCATTAGCCACCTTTCCCTCATGTTTACTTGGCATCTACTTTCCTACGGCTTCCCGTCCTCCGTTTTGGAGTAGCCAAGGCCAAGCCTGCTCCATCTTCTGTACAGCTGCCCTCTGAATATTTGGACACTGCCATCATCCTACCCCTTATGCTTCTAAACATTTAGCATTGCCATACATTGTTATTCCCGGAGGAAAGGACTTTGCTGGAAGAGATTTGACAGCTGAATACACTGTCCGAATTTCAGACAGCATCAGGTTCTTATCCAGCAGGTTTAGCCAGATGGTTTTTAAATTGTGAACTTCAAATGAAATGTTAAATTATTCTTTTAATGTGTATGCCTTATTTGACCTTTTGAATTGATGTGCATTTTTAACTGATATGATATCATGCATTTGTTAATTTGTTGTTCGCCACCTTGATCCATGGGGAGAGGAGAGTATTATGGAGTTTATGATAAGCCACTCTTTCTGCAGGCAGATCTGCGCTCCCTCATGTAACCGCCATCACCTCATTCCTAAAAGATCACACAACCCTGTTACCTGGATTACTAGCTAAGGTTACCTGCCCAGAACTGTCAGGTGGGATGCTCTGAACACCTTAAACTAGCATATAGGGAAACACTAGTGTGGCATAGTAGTTTCAGTGTTCGATTACAACTCTGGAGACCAGGGTTTGATTCCCTGCTTTGCCATGAAACCTACTGGGTGACCTTGGGCAAGTCACATGCTCTCAGCCTCAGGGGAAGGCAATAGAAAACCACCAACAGAGGCTGGATAGCCATTTGTTGGGGTGTTTGATTGTGAGTTCCTGCATGGCAGAGGGGGTTTGGAATGGATGGCCCTTGTGGCCTTTTCCAACTCTATGCTTCTATGACCTCTGAACAAATCTTGCCATGAAAAGCCCATTACAGGTTTGCTTTAGGGTCACCGTAAATCAGAAACGACTTGAAGGTACACAACAACAAAGGGAAAAGCAGGGCATTCCAGAGTATTTTGAATCCCCACCCATCATCCACAGTACACAAGGTGCTGATGTGGGCAAACTGTCACAACCTCCAATATGCCACAGTCCATTATTTGAAGATAGGATGGGATGAGACTAATACAGGAGAGCACTGAGGGGGAATGGCCCTATCCTCCAGGGCTTCTTAAGGCATGTGATGTCGGGGCATGGCAAGATTTTTGCCCCAATATGCTATGGATCAGCATCATATTTCTGCCTATTAACGGCGCCTTCTTTCCTGGAAGCCCATGTCAGGCCACAGGACCACTTCTGGCCAGTTGCTGGGGAAAATGCAGTCCACTACTTGCCAACTGGACACCACTCTGTGTAGCAGTGCTCTGGCAGTATAATGGCGCCTCACACTCCAGCCAGACTCCCTGCAGTGGCAGCTGGCCACTAGAAGATTCAGAGAAACATCTGCTTCACAAGGAGCTTCTTTGTGTGTCTAGATGTCACAGACCTTCTGACAATTCCTCTTCAGCTGCTGAGACCATTCTTTCATCTCTCTGTGCTGCAGTGCAAGGAGGAACCAGACCCATCCAATCTTGCCGACAGGCTTAAAAGTCCCAAGCTCTGTATGTGCCCAGGTAAAAAGAGTTAATGAAGGGGCCTATGGGGCTCGACTGCAGGCATCTCTCTAGCTGTTGTTGGAAGGGCAGGAGACACTGCCTTGGCCCCCAGAGGCAACTGTGCTTGGAGCAGATAGAATCATAGAATCATAGAGTTGGAAGAGACCCCAAGGGCCAT